TATACTCCCTGACTTCTTTTTAATAAACGGACAATTTCTAAATCTTTCAAAAAGAAAATCTAAAGTGGTTCCTTTTTCCTCTCTGTTTATTTGACTTTTCATTGACTTTTTTGATAATTGCTTAGTTTTTCAAAGACATAGTTTACTTCCTTTTATCCTGAGTAGTACTACAACTTACACATATAAAACTAAAGTTACATATTCATTTTTATTTCTAAAATAAAAATGCTAAAATACACTTCTTATTTACTCTGTGTATTTTTGCAGCTTAAAAATAATACTGTTTTTCATGCTTTTTGAAAAACTACATATTTTAACAGGACAACATTTATAAAACTTAAGTTTTAAATGGAACTTGACAAAAATTCACCTACAGATTTGTTTGATGATGAACGGAGTAGTAGAGGTATACTGAACAATAAAAATTAAACTAAAGGCATCTTCTCAACTGTAGTAGGCTGAAGGAAAAATGTCGAAATATTCCTATTGGAGAACAAAAATTAAATTTATTACCACATTTTTACTCCTACTTCGCTTTTGAAAGCAAAAGTATTAAGCCAAATAATCTCATTTTCATGTATGTATCTCTATCACCTTCAAGACTGTGACTGTCTTTGTTCAGTCTCTTAAAGGTAAAGATTGTGCTAATTAAAAATATTTTGTAGGTAATAGCATTATGAATTTTCAGTCTTTAGCTTTTTCTCTAGCCATATAAGCAAAAACAGACTCAATTTCCAACTGTGTTGTGGCATTACTTTATGTAGAACTCACAGGGGCTAGGGAATATAAACAAGTACCTGGAATTACCCCAGTCGGGACCAATGCCTGAGAGTGATCCTCTTGTGTCAGTTGCATATTTGTAAACCACTAGCAGGCACTGTTTACAAAGCTCGACCAGGCGCTGGCAACATTGGAGCTGCAAAGAAGTCACCACCTCAGGGCTTTTACTGAATATACTCTCCCAAGAGGATCTGTTGGCATGGAAACAGACATGACCTCATGTTCGCTGTTAAAATTGGCAACCAGCTATATCACTTACATAGCAACAAACCGATAGGAGAAAGTAGAAATGGCTTCACACATTTGCAATAACTATGAATGGTTGAAAGTTATACAATAAATACAAATTAGGAAATTAATCTTTATATTAACAAACACAACATCAAATTCATACTACTTGTCTATAAAGACTTTAATGATGCCAACTGTGGGTAGATAACAGGATAGTTTCCCAACACCTCCTAAAAAATGGAGTTATTCTATATTAAAAGTATTTGTAAAATACTGACATAATTTCTCAAAAATTAAGTATTCTAGGAACTTCGGTTTTTCTAGGAATCTGTATTTACCTTAACAAAAATAATGATACCA